ACACTGACCCTGAGACCCGGTCTCTACTCTAGACACTGAGACCCGGTCTCTACTCTAGACACAGAGAACCAGAGACCCGGTCTCTACTCTAGACACAGAGAACCTGACTCCCGGTCTCTACTCTAGACACTGATCCTGAGACCCGGTCTCTACTCTAGACCCTGAGAACCTGAGACCCGGTCTCTACTCCAGACACCGAGACCCTGACTCCCGGTCTCTACTCTAGACACTGATCCTGAGACCCGGTCTCTACTCCAGACACCGAGACCCTGACTCCCGGTCTCTACTCTAGACACTGATCCTGAGACCCGGTCTCTACTCCAGACACCGAGACCCTGACTCCCGGTCTCTACTCTAGACACTGATCCTGAGACCCGGTCTCTACTCCAGACACCGAGACCCTGACTCCCGGTCTCTACTCTAGACACTGATCCTGAGACCCGGTCTCTCCTCCAGACACCGAGACCCTGACTCCCGGTCTCTACTCTAGACCCTGAGAACCTGAGACCCGGTCTCTACTCCAGACACCGAGACCCTGACTCCCGGTCTCTACTCTAGACACTAATCCTGAGACCCGGTCTCTACTCCAGACACCGAGACCCTGACTCCCGGTCTCTACTCTAGACACTGATCCTGAGACCCGGTCTCTACTCTAGACCCTGAGAACCTGTGACCCGGTCTCTACTCTAGACAGTGAGACCCGGTCTCTACTCTAGACCATGAGAACCTGTGACCCGGTCTCTACTCTAGACACTGAGACCCGGTCTTTACTCTAGACACACTGACCCTGAGACCCGGTCTCTACTCTAGACACTGAGAACCTGAGACCCGGTCTCTACTCTAGACACTGAGACCCTGAGACCCGGTCTCTACTCTAGACACTGAGACCCTGAGACCCGGTCTCTACTCTAGACACCGAGACCCTGAGACCCGGTCTCTACTCTAGACACAGAGACCCGGTCTCTACTCTAGACACTGAGACCCGGTCTCTACTCTAGACACTGAGACCCGGTCTCTACTCTAGACACTGACCCTGAGACCCGGTCTCTACTCTAGACACTGAGACCCGGTCTCTACTCTAGACACTGAGACCCGGTCTCTACTCTAGACACTGAGAACCTGAGACCCGGTCTCTACTCTAGACACTGACATTGAGACCCGGTCTCTACTCTAGACACTGAAAACCAGAGACCCGGTCTCTACTCTAGACACTGACCCTGAGACCCGGTCTCTACTCTAGACACTGAGACCCGGTCTCTACTCTAGACACTGAGACCCTGAGACCCGGTCTCTACTCTAGACACTGACATTGAGACCCGGTCTCTACTCTAGACACTGATCCTGAGACCCGGTCTCTACTCTAGACACTGAGACCCTGACTCCCGGTCTCTACTCTAGACACTGACCCTGACTCCCGGTCTCTACTCTAGACACTGAGACCCTGAGACCCGGTCTCTACTCTAGACACTGATCCTGAGACCCGGTCTCTACTCTAGACACCGAGACCCGGTCTCTACTCTAGACACTGAGACCCTGAGACCCGGTCTCTACTCTAGACACTGACCCTGAGACCCGGTCTCTACTCTAGACACCGAGACCCTGACTCCCGGTCTCTACTCTAGACACTGACCCTGACTCCCGGTCTCTACTCTAGACACTGACGCTGAGACCTGGTCTCTACTCTAGACACTGAGACCCGGTCTCTACTCTAGACACCGAGACCCTGACTCCCGGTCTCTACTCTAGACACCGAGACCCGGTCTCTACTCTAGACACTGAGACCCTGAGACCCGGTCTCTACTCTAGACACTGACCCTGAGACCCGGTCTCTACTCTAGACACCGAGACCCTGACTCCCGGTCTCTACTCTAGACACTGACCCTGACTCCCGGTCTCTACTCTAGACACTGACGCTGAGACCTGGTCTCTACTCTAGACACTGAGACCCGGTCTCTACTCTAGACACCGAGACCCTGACTCCCGGTCTCTACTCTAGACACTGACCCTGAGACCCGGTCTCTACTCTAGACACTGACCCTGAGACCCGGTCTCTACTCTAGACACAGAGACCCTGACTCCCGGTCTCTACTCTAGACACTGACCCTGACTCCCGGTCTCTACTCTAGACACTGACGCTGAGACCTGGTCTCTACTCTAGACACTGAGACCCGGTCTCTACTCTAGACACCGAGACCCTGACTCCCGGTCTCTACTCTAGACACCGAGACCCGGTCTCTACTCTAGACACTGAGACCCTGAGACCCGGTCTCTACTCTAGACACTGACCCTGAGACCCGGTCTCTACTCTAGACACCGAGACCCTGACTCCCGGTCTCTAATCTAGACACTGACCCTGACTCCCGGTCTCTACTCTAGACACTGACGCTGAGACCTGGTCTCTACTCTAGACACTGAGACCCGGTCTCTACTCTAGACACCGAGACCCTGACTCCCGGTCTCTACTCTAGACACTGACCCTGAGACCCGGTCTCTACTCTAGACACTGACCCTGAGACCCGGTCTCTACTCTAGACACCGAGACCCTGACTCCCGGTCTCTACTCTAGACACTGACCCTGACTCCCGGTCTCTACTCTAGACACTGAGACCCTGACTCCCGGTCTCTACTCTAGACACTGACCCTGAGACCCGGTCTCTACTCTAGACACAGAGACCCTGACTCCCGGTCTCTTCTCTAGACACTGACCCTGAGACCCGGTCTCTACTCTAGACACTGAGACCCTGAGACCCGGTCTCTACTCTAGACACTGACCCTGAGACCCGGTCTCTACTCTAGATACTGAGACCCGGTCTCTACTCTAGACACTGACCCTGAGACCTCGGTCTCTACTCTAGACACTGACACCCGGTCTCTACTCTAGACACCGAGACCCTGACTCCCGGTCTCTACTCTAGACACTGACCCTGACTCCCGGTCTCTACTCTAGACACTGAGACCCTGACTCCCGGTCTCTACTCTAGACCCTGACCCTGAGACCCGGTCTCTACTCTAGACCCTGACCCTGAGACCCGGTCTCTACTCTAGACACTGACCCTGAGACCCGGTCTCTACTCTAGACACTGAGACCCTGAGACCCGGTCTCTACTCTAGACACTGAGACCCGGTCTCTACTCTAGACACCGAGACCCTGACTCCCGGTCTCTACTCTAGACACTGACCCTGAGACCCGGTCTCTACTCTAGACACTGAGACCCGGTCTCTACTCTAGACACTGACCCTGAGACCCGGTCTCTACTCTAGACACTGAGACCCTGACTCCCGGTCTCTACTCTAGACACTGACCCTGACTCCCGGTCTCTACTCTAGACCCTGACGCTGAGATATCTGAACCGGCTTCCTGGCCTCCTCTAGGTCGACTCAGCTTCAACTGAACTCCCCGGGTTCGTTGCGCGGTTAACATCGCCACTGGGGGAGACAAAGAGGGCCGGGCGTGCGCGGTGCTCGCCACACCGCTCGGCCGTTGGCAGGCGCTCAGCTGCTCACGGCACTTGCCCCCACGGCCTGCTGAAGGCTACGCGGGTGTGCTTTGTCATTGCCTGTGTGTCGCGCTGTGTTTGTTTAACTTCGTGAGACCACGCAGGGGAATTGACGTTGATTCGCGGAATCAAAATCCGGGTTTGTTCTGAAATGGACATGAAGGCAATGAGATTCATAATTTATTTCCTATATATGTTTTTTTCTCGAAATCCCACATTCGTTATTTATTCAGTAGCCGTTTCTGTATTAAAAAAATAAATGACGATCTTAAGACAGTCTGAGGATATAAATCACGGCTCCGTTCAGCTCAAGGTTTCAGAGTCCTTGAAGGCGACACGGCAGGGCACAGCGAGGTGAGTGGACGATGTTGACGACCTCGCCTGGCTGGCAGGAGGTCGTGGGTTCGATCCAGACCCTGACGCCTGCTGCTGCTGCTGTAGATTTGAAGTTTGCGTCTCTCTCTCTTTCTCATTATCATCACGGTGGCTAGGAGATGTTAAATACCACGCCTGGACTAAAGGTGGTCGTGGGTTCGATCTCGACCCTGACGCCTGCTGTGTATTTGGAGTCTGCGTCTCTCTCATCATCATCATCACGGTGGCTTGGAGATGTTGACTACCTCGCCTGGTAGGCAGGAGATCGTGGGTTAAATCCTGACCCTGACGATGCCTGCTGCTGCTGCTGTAGATTTGAAGTTTGTGTTTCTCTCATCATCATCATGGTGGCTAGGAGATGTTGACTACCTCGCCTGGTAGGCAGGAGGTCGTGGGTTAAATCCTGACCCTGACGATGCCTGCTGCTGCTGCTGTAGATTTGGAGTTTCCGTCTCTCTCTATTCCCGTGGTCGCGTGGACTTTTCTCCGAGTTCTCCGGTTTATCGCCTCCACATTTAGAAACATCATCATCCGTATCTGGATGTTGTCACATTCCCACGCGATGAGCCACTTTCGTTGAGCTCTCATTTCGTGACGGCTCTGCTAAAGAGCGACATTACAGCTCAGTGGGCCTTACCTGGTAAACTCATGAATAGTTGAACTTCGTTATTAGTTCGTTTACTCTCCGTGTGGCTGAGTGTGGAGCTCTCTTAGGGGGTTCAGAATGGGCATGGCACAGAGCCAGCACTGCCCAGAGCCTGGGTTCGAGCCCTGGGTCTGGGTGTCTCTCTCTCTGGGTTCATAATGTACCGTGTCAGAGACACTGAGAGTCTGGGTTCGAGCCCTGGGTCTGGGTGTCTCTCTCTCTGGGTTAATAATGTGACGTGTGGGAGACACTGAGAGCCTGGGTTCGAGCCCTGGGTCTGGGTCTCTCTCTCTCTCTGGGTTCATAATGTGCCGTGTCAGAGACACTGAGAGTCTGGGTTCGAGCCCTGGGTCTGGGTGTCTCTCAATCGGTTCATAATGTGCTGTGTAAGAGACACTGAGAGCCTGGGTTCGAGCCCTGGGTCTGGGTGTCTCTCTCTCAATGGGTTCATAATGTGCCGTGTCAGAGACACTGAGAGTCTGGGTTCGAGCCCTGGGTCTGGGTGTCTCTCTCTCTCTCTGGGTTCATAATGTGCCGTGTGGGAGGCTCTGATGCAGTACTCCTCAGAGCCTGGGTTCGAGCCCTGGGTCTGGGTGTCTCTCTCTCTAGGTTCATAATGTGCCGTGTCAGAGACACTGAGAGTCTGGGTTCGAGCCCTGGGTCTGGGTGTCTCTCTCTGGGTTCATAATGTGCCGTGTGGGAGGCTCTGATGCAGGACTGCCCAGAGCCTGGGTTCGAGCCCTGGGTCTGGGTGTCTCTCTCTCAATGGGTTCATAATGTGCTGTGTAAGAGACACTGAGAGCCTGGGTTCGAGCCCTGGGTCTGGGTGTCTCTCTCTGGGTTCATAATGTGCCGTGTGGGAGGCTCTGATGCAGTACTGCCCAGAGCCTGGGTTCGAGCCCTCGGTCTGGGTGTCTCTCTCTCTGGGTTCATAATGTGACGTGTGGGAGGCTCTGATGCAGTACTGCCCAGAGCCTGGGTTCGAGCCCTGGGTCTGGGTGTCTCTCTCTCTCAATGTGTTCATAATGTGCTGTGTAAGAGACACTGAGAGCCTGGGTTCGAGCCCTGGGTCTGGGTGTCTCTCTCTCTGGGTTCATAATGTACCGTGTGGGAGACTCTGATGCAGCACTGCCCAAAGCCTGGGTTCGAGCCCTGGGTCTGGGTGTCTCTCTCTCTCAATGGGTTCATAATGTGCTGTGTAAGAGACACTGAGAGCCTGGGTTCGAGCCCTGGGTCTGGGTGTCTCTCTCTCTCTCTGGGTTCATAATGTACCGTGTGGGAGACTCTGATGCAGTACTGCCCAGAGCCTGAGTTCGAGCCCTGGGTCTGGGGGTGTCTCCCTCTCTCGCTCTCTAACACGCACGTGCGCGTGTGCCGAATGCCTCGCGCGCCTGACGTGGTGCGATGATGGGCTCCACAGATTTGTCCGACTCGGAGTCAGCGATGGTGAAAATCACGGGAGCGGCTGTGACCATAGCAGTGTTGATGATCACAGGTAACGCGTGAGTGAGTGGAGTTTGTGTGATCTCCCCCTGTACTGCAGAGTGAGTGATTTGAGTTTGTATGATCTCCCCCTGTTCTATAGAGTGAGTGAGTGGAGTTTGTGTGATCTCCCCCTGTTCTACAGAGTGAGTGTGTGGAGTTTGTGTGTTCTGCTCCTGTACTACAGAGTGAGTGAGTGGAGTTTGTGTGATCTCCCCCTGTTCTACAGAGTGAATGTGAGTGAGTGGAGTTTGTGTGATCTCCCCCTGTTCTACAGAGTGAGTGAGTGGAGTTTGTATGATCTCCCCCTGTCCTACATAGTGAATGAGTGGAGTTAGTGTGATCTCCCCCTGTTCTACATAGTGAGAGTGAGTGGAGTTTGTATGATCTCCCCCTGTTCTACAGAGTGAGTGAGTGGAGTTTGTATGATCTCCCCCTGTTCTACATAGTGAGAGTGAGTGGAGTTTGTGTGATCTCCCCCTGTTCTACAGAGTGAGTGAGTGGAGTTTGCATGATCTCCCCCTGTTCTACAGAGTGAGTGGAGTTTGTGTGATCTCCCCCTGTCCTACAGAGTGAGTGGAGTTTGTATGATCTCCCCGTGTCCTACAGAGTGAGTGAGTGGAGTTTGTGTGATCTCCCCCTGTTCCACAGAGTGAATGTGAGTGAGTGGAGTTTGTGTGATCTCCCCCTGTTCTACAGAGTGAGTGGAGTTTGTGTGATCTCCCCCTGTTCTACAGTGAGTGAGTGGAGTTTGTGTGATCTCCCCCGGTTCTACAGAGTGAGTGGGTGGAGTTTGTGTGATCTCCCCCTGTTCTACAGAGTGAGTGAGTGGAGTTTGTGTGATCTCCCCCTGTTCTACAGAGTGAGTGAGTGGAGTTTGTGTGTTCTCCCCCTGTTCTACAGAGTGAGTGGAGTTTGTGTGATCTCTACCCCTGTTCTACGGAGTAAGTGAGTGGAGTTTGTGTGATCTCCCCCTGTTCTACAGAGTGAGTGAGTGGAGTTTGTGTGATCTCCCCCTGTTCTACAGAGTGAGTGAGTGGAGTTTGTGTGATCTCCCCCTGTTCTACAGAGTGAGTGAGTGGAGTTTGTGTGATCTCCCCCTGTTCTACATAGTGAGTGAGTAGAGTTTGTGTGATCTCCCCCTGTTCTACAGAGTGAGTGAGTGGAGTTTGTGTGATCTCCCCCTGTTCTACAGAGTGAGAGTGAGTGGGGTTTGTGTGATCTCCCCCTGTTCTACAGAGTGAATGTGAGTGAGTGGAGTTTGTGTGATCTCCCCCTGTCCTACATAGTGAATGTGAGTGGAGTTTGTATGATCTCCCCCTGTTCTACAGAGTGAATGTGAGTGAGTGGAGTTTGTATGATCTCCCCGTTCTACAGAGTGAGAGTGAGTGGAGTTTGTGTGATCTCCCCCTGTTCTACAGAGTGAGTGAGTGGAGTTTGTGTGTGATCTCCCCTGTTCTTCAGTGAGTGAGTGGAGTTTGTGTGATCTCCCCCTGTTCTACAGAGTGAGTGAGTGGAGTTTGTGTGTGATCTCCCCCTGTTCTAGAGAGTGAGTAAGTGGAGTTTGTGTGATCTCCCCCTGTTCTACAGAGTGAGTGGAGTTTGTGTGATCTCTACCCCTGTTCTACAGAGTAAGTGAGTGGAGTTTGTGTGATCTCCCCCTGTTCTACAGAGTGAGTGAGTGGAGTTTGTGTGATCTCCCCCTGTTCTACAGAGTGAGTGAGTGGAGTTTGTGTGATCTCCCCCTGTTCTACAGAGTGAGTGGGTGGAGTTTGTGTGATCTCCCCCTGTTCTACAGAGTGAGTGGAGTTTGTGTGATCTCCCCCTGTTCTACAGAGTGAGTGGGTGGAGTTTGTGTGATCTCCCCCTGTTCTACAGAGTGAGTGGAGTTTGTGTGATCTCCCCCAGTTCTACAGAGTGAGTGGAGTTTGTGTGATCTCCCCCTGTTCTACAGAGTGAGTGGAGTTTGTGTGATCTCTACCCCTGTTCTACAGAGCAAGTGAGTGGAGTTTGTGTGATCTCCCCCTGTTCTACAGAGTGAGTGAGTGGAGTTTGTGTGATCTCCCCCTGTTCTACAGAGTAAGTGAGTGGAGTTTGTGTGATCTCCCCCTGTTCTACAGAGTGAGTGAGTGGAGTTTGTGTGATCTCCCCCTGTTCCACAGAGTGAGTGAGTGGAGTTTGTGTGATCTCCCCCTGTTCTACAGAGTGAGTGAGTGGAGTTTGTGTGATCTCCCCCTGTTCTACATAGTGAGTGAGTAGAGTTTGTGTGATCTCCCCCTGTTCTACAGAGTGAGTGAGTGGAGTTTGTGTGATCTCCCCCTGTTCTACAGAGTGAGAGTGAGTGGGGTTTGTGTGATCTCCCCCTGTTCTACAGAGTGAATGTGAGTGAGTGGAGTTTGTGTGATCTCCCCCTGTCCTACATAGTGAATGTGAGTGGAGTTTGTATGATCTCCCCCTGTTCTACAGAGTGAATGTGAGTGAGTGGAGTTTGTATGATCTCCCCGTTCTACAGAGTGAGAGTGAGTGGAGTTTGTGTGATCTCCCCCTGTTCTACAGAGTGAGTGAGTGGAGTTTGTGTATGATCTCCCCCTGTTCTTCAGTGAGTGAGTGGAGTTTGTGTGATCTCCCCCTGTTCTACAGAGTGAGTGAGTGGAGTTTGTGTGTGATCTCCCCCTGTTCTACAGAGTGAGTAAGTGGAGTTTGTGTGATCTCCCCCTGTTCTACAGAGTGAGTGGAGTTTGTGTGATCTCCCCCTGTTCTACAGTGAGTAAGTGGAGTTTGTATGATCTCCCCCTGTTCTACAGAGTGAGTGAGTGGAGTTTGTGTGATCTCCCCCTGTTCTACAGAGTGAGTGAGTGGAGTTTGTGTGATCTCTCCCTGTTCTACAGAGTGAGTGGGTGGAGTTTGTGTGATCTCCCCCTGTTCTACAGAGTGAGTAGAGTTTGTGTGATCTCTCCGTGTTCTACAGAGTGAGTGGGTGGAGTTTGTGTGATCTCCCCCTGTTCTACAGAGTGAGTGGAGTTTGTGTGATCTCCCCCAGTTCTACAGAGTGAGCGGAGTTTGTGTGATCTCCCCCTGTTCTACAGTGAGTAAGTGGAGTTTGTATGATCTCCCCCTGTTCTACAGAGTGAGTGAGTGGAGTTTGTGTGATCTCCCCCTGTTCTACAGAGTGAGTGAGTGGAGTTTGAGTGATCTCCCCCTGTTCTACAGAGTGAGTGGGTGGAGTATGTGTGATCTCCCCCTGTTCTACAGAGTGAGTGGAGTTTGTGTGATCTCCCCCTGTTCTACAGAGTGAGTGGGTGGAGTTTGTGTGATCTCCCCCTGTTCTACAGAGTGAGTGGAGTTTGTGTGATCTCCCCCAGTTCTACAGAGTAAGTGAGTGGAGCTTGTATGATCTCCCCCTGTTCTACAGAGTGAGAGTGAGTGAAGTTTGTGTGATCTCCCCCTGTTCTACAGAGTGAGTGAGTGGAGTTTGTGTGAGCTCCCCCTGTTCTACAGAGTGAGTGGGTGGAGTTTGTGTGATCTCCCCCTGTTCTACAGAGTGAGTGAGTGGAGTTTGTGTGATCTCCCCCTGTTCTACAGAGTGAGAGTGAGTGGAGTTTGTATGATCTCCCCCTGTTCTACAGAGTGAGTGAGTGGAGTTTGTATGATCTCCCCCTGTTCTACATAGTGAGTGGAGTTTGTGTGATCTCCCCCTGTCCTACAGAGTGAGTGGAGTTTGTATGATCTCCCCGTGTCCTACAGAGTGAGTGAGTAGAGTTTGTGTGATCTCCCCCTGTTCCACAGAGTGAATGTGAGTGAGTGGAGTTTGTGTGATCTCCCCCTGTTCTACAGAGTGAGTGGAGTTTGTGTGATCTCCCCCTGTTCTACAGTGAGTGAGTGGAGTTTGTGTGATCTCCCCCTGTTCTACAGAGTGAGTGGGTGGAGTTTGTGTGATCTCCCCCTGTTCTACAGAGTGAGTGAGTGGAGTTTGTGTGATCTCCCCCTGTTCTACAGAGTGAGTGAGTGGAGTTTGTGTGTTCTCCCCCTGTTCTACAGAGTGAGTGGAGTTTGTGTGATCTCTACCCCTGTTCTACAGAGTAAGTGAGTGGAGTTTGTGTGATCTCCCCCTGTTCTACAGAGTGAGTGAGTGGAGTTTGTGTGATCTCCCCCTGTTCTACAGAGTGAGTGAGTGGAGTTTGTGTGATCTCCCCCTGTTCTACAGAGTGAGTGAGTGGAGTTTGTGTGATCTCCCCCTGTTCTACATAGTGAGTGAGTAGAGTTTGTGTGATCTCCCCCTGTTCTACAGAGTGAGTGAGTGGAGTTTGTGTGATCTCCCCCTGTTCTACAGAGTGAGAGTGAGTGGGGTTTGTGTGATCTCCCCCTGTTCTACAGAGTGAATGTGAGTGAGTGGAGTTTGTGTGATCTACCCCTGTCCTACATAGTGAATGTGAGTGGAGTTTGTATGATCTCCCCCTGTTCTACAGAGTGAATGTGAGTGAGTGGAGTTTGTATGATCTCCCCGTTCTACAGAGTGAGAGTGAGTGGAGTTTGTGTGATCTCCCCCTGTTCTACAGAGTGAGTGAGTGGAGTTTGTGTGTGATCTCCCCCTGTTCTTCAGTGAGTGAGTGGAGTTTGTGTGATCTCCCCCTGTTCTACAGAGTGAGTGAGTGGAGTTTGTGTGTGATCTCCCCCTGTTCTACAGAGTGAGTAAGTGGAGTTTGTGTGATCTCCCCCTGTTCTACAGAGTGAGTGGAGTTTGTGTGATCTCCCCCTGTTCTACAGTGAGTAAGTGGAGTTTGTATGATCTCCCCCTGTTCTACAGAGTGAGTGAGTGGAGTTTGTGTGATCTCCCCCTGTTCTACAGAGTGAGTGAGTGGAGTTTGTGTGATCTCCCCCTGTTCTACAGAGTGAGTGGGTGGAGTTTGTGTGATCTCCCCCTGTTCTACAGAGTGAGTGGAGTTTGTGTGATCTCCCCCTGTTCTACAGAGTGAGTGGGTGGAGTTTGTGTGATCTCCCCCTGTTCTACAGAGTGAGTGGAGTTTGTGTGATCTCCCCCAGTTCTACAGAGTGAGTGGAGTTTGTGTGATCTCCCCCTGTTCTACAGTGAGTAAGTGGAGTTTGTATGATCTCCCCCTGTTCTACAGAGTGAGTGAGTGGAGTTTGTGTGATCTCCCCCTGTTCTACAGAGTGAGTGAGTGGAGTTTGAGTGATCTCCCCCTGTTCTACAGAGTGAGTGGGTGGAGTATGTGTGATCTCCCCCTGTTCTACAGAGTGAGTGGAGTTTGTGTGATCTCCCCCTGTTCTACAGAGTGAGTGGGTGGAGTTTGTGTGATCTCCCCCTGTTCTACAGAGTGAGTGGAGTTTGTGTGATCTCCCCCAGTTCTACAGAGTAAGTGAGTGGAGTTTGTATGATCTCCCCCTGTTCTACAGAGTGAGAGTGAGTGAAGTTTGTGTGATCTCCCCCTGTTCTACAGAGTGAGTGAGTGGAGTTTGTGTGAGCTCCCCCTGTTCTACAGAGTGAGTGGGTGGAGTTTGTGTGATCTCCCCCTGTTCTACAGAGTGAGTGAGTGGAGTTTGTGTGATCTCCCCCTGTTCTACAGAGTGAGTGGGTGGAGTTTGTGTGATCTCCCCCTGTTCTACAGAGTGAGTGAGTGGAGTTTGTGTGATCTCCCCCTGTTCTACAGAGTGAGAGTGAGTGGGTGAGTGGGCCAGTGGTTGGGAAGCGAGGGGTTGCGTGAGTGGTTGGATGAGTGAGTGGGCCAGTGAGTGTGGTGTATGTATGTTGAATTTCTTTAGCACCGTACGTCACCAACCACGCTAAGGTGCGGGAGAGTGTGTGGGTGATTGGGTGAGTGGGTGAGCGGGAGAGTGAGTGAGTGGGTGAGTGAGCGGGTGAGTGGGAGTGTGAGTGAGTGGGTGAGCGGGTGAGTGAGCGGGTGAGTGGGAGTGTGAGTGAGTGGGTGAGTGGGAGAGTGAGTGGGTGGGTTATTGGGTGGATGAGCGAGTACATGAGTGGGAAAATGAGTGGGAAATTGAGTAGGTGAATCGGTGAGTGGGTGAGTAAGTGGGTGAGTGGGTGAGTGGGTGAGTGAGTGGGTGAGGGAGTGGGGGAGTCGGAGAGTAAGTGGGTGAGTGAGTGGGTGAGTGGGTGAGTGAGTGGGTGAGTGGGTGAGTAAGTGGGTGAGTGGGAGAGTGAGTGGATGAGTGAGTGGGTGAGTGGGTGGGTGAGTGGGTGAGTGAGTGGGTGAGTGAGTGGGTGAGTGGGTGAGTGGGAGAGTAAGTGGGTGAGTGAGTGGGTGAGTGGGTGAGTGAGTGGGTGAGTGAGTGGGTGAGTGGGAGAGTAAGTGGGTGAGTGGGTGAGTGAGTGGGTGAGTGGGAGAGTGAGTGGGTGAGTGAGTGGGTGAGTGGGTGAGTGAGTGGGTGAGTGAGTGGGTGAGTGGGTGAGTGAGTGGGTGAGTGAGTGGGTGAGTGGGTGAGTGGGAGAGTGAGTGGGTGAGTGAGTGGGTGAGTGGGCGAGTGAGTGGGTGAGTGAGTGGGTGAGTGGGTGAGTGAGTGGGTGAGTGAGTGGGTGAGTGGGTGACTCAGTGGGTGAGTAGGTGAGTGAGTGAGTGTCGTGGGTGTAGTTGTGGGGAATGCTTTGCGGCCGTCTGCTGCCGGAGAGTCGCCCTTCAACAAGAGCTTCTGATTTAAGTGGGCTTTACTCGATGAGAAACACAAACACACGCACACAAACAACAACAACAACCGCCATTCGCCACTAAGTGGCGGTGATGTCACCACGACGCTTGTACCAGGCCATGTGCACCTGGAGGCCACGTGAAGTGTTGATCGCCCGCTGGCAGGTCACGGGGCAGACCCAAGTGCCACGCGTCGAATGACTAAGATGACTGAGATGACTGGCTGATGCACCACCTGTGCCCCCTACTGTGCAAACCCGCTGTGATTTAGCCACGCGGCTCTCCGCTCGTTGTTGTGAGCGTCGATCCTCCGCCCTCCATTGTTGTTGGAGGGCGACTGCCTCCAACTGCCCAGCAGCGTCCTTCACGAGCCTCCTCCACAGAGGCCGATCTTGACACCGCTGGTACCAGTCATCGACAAGTCCACTCAGCTTCACGTCCTCCTGTACCACATCACTCCATCTCTTCTCTAGCCCGTGCCGCGCCCGTTTAGCCCCCTCGATCAGGCCGAACAAAATCTGTTTAGGCATGCGGTGGCTGGGCATGCAGGCTACATGACCCAGACAACGCAGCCTTGCCTGCCGGAGGAGCTCACCGATGGGACTTTGCCCAGATCTTTCCAAGATTTGTGAGCTCCTCACACAATACAGCCTGGTTAAATCCAGGATGGATCGTAGGCAGGCCAGCCTAAATGTTTCCAATCGGCGAAAATGCTCCATTAGGGGGGTCCACGTTTCGCAAGCGTAGAGAAGGGAGGGAATGACCGTGGCCGAGAAGACCTGAAGCTTAGTGCGGAGCGACAGACCAGGTAGCTTCCACACAGCGTTACGCAATCGATGAAAAGATATTGCCACTCGACTGATTCTGAGTCAGACCTCTGCTGTTAAACTGGAGCCGGTCATAAGCACACTGCCCAGGTATGGGAAACTCTCCACTCTCTGCACAACTGCCCCATCACCGATTGGGAGTTGTGGGGGTGGAGTGTCCGATGGTACAAAATACCCAGGCAGGTGCTTAGTTTTGGTGGGGCTGATGGTAAGGCCCCACCTCTTAGTGGCACGCTCCAGTCTCAGCAGCAGCGGCTCCAACTCCTCCTCTGAATGAGCAGCTATTACCAAATCATCAGCATACATAACGTGGTTGAGCAATTGGGAGCCATCCCTTGACCGCACCCGGGCATCGATCAGCCTCCCATTATATCTGTACCATATGGAGATTCCCCCGGTACAGCTATTGAAGGCTTCACGAACTACGTGGTCAAATTAGATGTTAAATAATGTGGGAGCCAGAGGACATCCCTGTCGCACCCCAAGGTGTACAGGGAATGGCTCTGACTCCCGGCCACGTAGTTTTACCCGGGCCCGCTCACCATCATGAAGGTCCTTAATGATCGTGAGCAGACGGTCAGGTACTCCAAAAGCACGAAGAACAACCCAGAGCCCAGGCCTACCGATGGTATCATAGGCCTTGACCAGGTCAATAAAGCAGAGATGTAGGTCTTGTTGGAATTCCCTACACCTCTGCTGTAGCAGACGGACAGAAAATATGGCATCTGTGCAGGACCGCCCTTTCCTGAAACCACACACAACCACACACACCACGAACACACACACACACAACCACACACACCACGAACACACACACACCACGAATACACACACACAACCACACACACCACGAACACACACACACACAACCACACACACACCACGAACACACAACCACAACCACACACACACACACCACGAACACACACACACCACGAACACACACACACCACGAACACACACACACACCACGAACACACACACAACCACACACATACACCACGAACACACACACCACGAACACACACACACACCACGAACACACACACACAACCACACACACACAACGACAACCACAACCACACACACACACACCACGAACACACAACCACAACCACACACACACACCACGAACACACACACAACCACACACACACACCACGAAAACACACACACACACAACCACACATACACCACGAACACACACACAACCACACACACACACCACGAACACACACACAACCATACACACACACCACGAACACACAACCACAACCACACACACACCACGAACACACACACACACACAACCACACACACACACCACGAACACACACACACACAACCACACACACACCACGAACACACACACACACACCACGAACACACACACACACCCACAACCACACACACCACGAACACACACACACACAACCACACACACACCACGAACACACACACACCCACCACGAACACACAACCACACAACCACACACACACACCACGAACACACACACACAACCACACACACCACGAACACACACAACCACTCATCCTCCCCTCCCCCCTCCCTCCCCCCCCCAGCGGGCACGTCACGCGCGGCACAATTCTTCCTCTCGGCGCGCGCGCTGCCGTGGAGCGTGGCCGCGCGCTACTGCCACGCGCACGGGGGCCACCTCGCGACCGTGGGGGACGCGCGGCTCAACGCGCGCCTCGCGCACGCCGCCACCCACCACCACCAGGCCCCTCCCCCCCTCCACCACCACCACGCCCCCTCCCACGCCCCTCCCCCCCACCACCACCACCACCACCCCTCCTTCTGGCTGGGACTGCGGCGTGACGCGGCGGGCGTCTGGCGGTGGCTCGAGAGCGGCTCGCCGGCCCCGTTCCTGCCCTGGGCGCCCGGGGAGCCCAACGGCAGGAAACGCGACGAGGAGTGCGTGGAGCTCTACGTGGGGGCGGGAGGAGGCGGCGGAGGAGGCGGGGATGAGAGGCACGGGCGCTGGAACGACGATGGCTGTCGACGCAAGAAGAGGGCGCTGTGCTACAGAGGTGAGGGCCAGGAGGAGGAGATGGTGAGAGGAGGAGGAGGAGGAGGTGACACCAGGATTGGTGAAGTATGGTCGCGGATAACCGCACACTGCTGCTGCCCGCCCCCCCCCAGCTCGGCCCGCGCCCCATCGTGTGGGGGTGCCCCTAGGCGAGACCACACAGCAGACTGATGCACAGGGACAGCTGCCACTGGGGGTGCCCCTAGGCGAGACCACACAGCAGACTGATGCACAGGGACAGCTGCCACTGGGGGTGCCCCTAGGCGAGACCACACAGCAGACTGATGCACAGGGACAGCTGCCACTGGGGGTGCCCCTAGGCTAGACCACAGCAGACTGATGCACAGGGACAGCTGCCACTGGGGGTGCCCCTAGGCTACACCACACAGCAGACTGATGCACAGGGACAGCTGCCACTGGGGGTGCCCCTAGGCTAGACCACACAGCAGACTGATGCACAGGGACAGCTGCCACTGGGGGTGCCCCCTAGGCTACACCACACAGCAGACTGATGCACAGGGACAGCTGCCACTGGGAGTGCCCCTAGGCTAGACCACAGCAGACTGATGCACAGGGACAGCTGCCACTGGGGGTGCCCCTAGGCGAGACCACACAGCAGACTGATGCACAAGGACAGCTGCCACTGGGGGTGCCCCTAGGCTAGACCACAGCAGACTGATGCACAGGGACAGCTGCCACTGGGGGTGCCCCTAGGCTACACCACACAGCAGACTGATGCACAGGGACAGCTGCCACTGGGGGTGCCCCTAGGCGAGACCACACAGCAGACTGATGCACAGGGACAGCTGCCACTGGGGGTGCCCCTAGGCTAGACCACAGCAGACTGATGCACAGGGACAGCTGCCACTGGGGGTGCCCCTAGGCTACACCACACAGCAGACTGATGCACAGGGACAGCTGCCACTGGGGGTGCCCCTAGGCTAGACCACACAGCAGACTGATGCACAGGGACAGCTGCCACTGGGGGTGCCCCCTAGGCTAGACCACACAGCAGACTGATGCACAGGGACAGCTGCCACTGGGGGTGCCCCCTAGGCTACACCACACAGCAGACTGATGCACAGGGACAGCTGCCACTGGGGGTGCCCCTAGGCTACACCACACAGCAGACTGATGTACAGGGACAGCTGCCACTGGGGGTGCCCCTAGGCGAGACCACACAGCAGACTGATGCACAGGGACAGCTGCCACTGGGGGTGCCCCTCGGCTTTGGACTATATGTTAAACTTCTTTCCTACCGTACGTAGCCACCCGTGCTAATCGGAGGTGTGGCGGACGGTCAACAAACTGAAGGCAAAACCCAGTTCTAGAAAGACGGGTTTGTCAATCTAGATGATGATGACGGGTTTGTCAATCTAGATGATGATGATGATGATGATTTCAAAGTGCCATAGCTCCTCCAGTGGCTTCCAAATATCGGGCGGAAGAACGTTCCAGACGGCCGCGGAAGCGCATCTGCAAACGCGCGATGCGGTGACCACAGCAACAGCAACATCAGTAGCAACATCGCCCCCTACTGTAAAACTGGACCTAAGCTATTTAATATTGTTACCAAGTATCAGGCCCTACTGCTGAGTTGCTGTGTGTAGCTCTTTTGCAGAAGTGCTCACCCGGCCGACACAAATGATTGCAGCTCAAACCAAAGCGCCTCATCACCAGCATCATCGTCGTCGTGTGGAAATTTAAAGCGGTAGCCAAATATTCTAAATGCATCGGGACACACAGAGACCCACAGAGATCCACGGAGATAATGCATCGAGACCCGCAGACTAAACTCACATTTAACTATTTTTTATTTTAGATTTGAAACTTTCGTGACTGTAGGGATCCATATACTCTTTGGTTCTTTCGGTGAAGTCACGTGGGTAGAAAATAATTTAATTTAATTTTATACCTTTGTATTGATTAATATTCTAGATTTTTAAACGGTTGATTATCAAAGGAGTGCAAGGCTGCAGTGTAGAGGTTCAGAGCCGCTGCTCTAAGCGCAGGTTTCTAAATGTGGAGGGGGAAACCGGAGAAAATTAAACGCGACCAAGGGGAGAGAGAGAGACGCAGACTCCAAATACACAGCAGGGGTCAGGGTCAGGGTCGAACCCACGACCTCCTGCACACCAGGCGAGGTAGTTTACATCTCCTAGCCACGGTGATGATGATGATGATGAGAGAGAGAGACGCAGACTCCAAATACACAGCAGGGGTCAGGGTCAGGGTCGAACCCACGACCACCTGTAGCCAGGCGAGGTAGTTTACATCTCCTAGCCACGGTGATGATGATGATGATGAGAGAGAGAGACGCAGACTCCAAATACACAGCAGGGGTCAGGGTCAGGGTCGAACCCACGACCACCTGTAGACCAGGCGAGGTAGTTAACATCTCCTAGCCACCGTGATGATGAGAGAGAGACACGCAAACTCCAAATATATAGCAGGGGTCAGGGTCGATCCCACGACCTCCTGTATACCAGGCGAGGTAGTTAACATCTCCTAGCCACGGTGATGATGATGAGAGAGAGACACGCAAACTCCAAATACACAGCAGGCATCAGGGTCGAACCCACGACCTCCTGTGTACCAGGCGAGGTAGTTAACATCTCCTAGCCACCGTGATGATGATGAGAGAGAGACACAAACTCCAAATACACAGCAGGCGTCAGGGTCGAACCCACGACCTCCTGTGTACCAGGCGAGGTAGTTAACATCTCCTAGCCATCGTGGCAGCCCTTGCTACCGCAGGCTGTGTGTGTGTGTGTGAACCATAACGGCCCATCATCATATCGTGGGATAACTTTTGTTGCCGGGATCAAAGTACGAAAAATAAGAATAGAGTTTTTGTTTTACCCTTTGTGGAAATAAAACAGGAGATTGTGTTAAGATGTTCAAACACCCGAATCGATGATAGCTTCCGCAAGGAATCATGGAATGCATTAACCACACACACACAGTACTTTGTGGTGCACGTGCAAACAAGCATGGCTCTGATAGTGATGTGCGCATTTACATTGATTCCTTGCAAAAGCTAAATTATATTTGGGTGTTTGAACATCTTAACTCAGGGGTGGGGAACCTTTTTTTCTGCCAAGGGCCATTTGGATATTTATAAAAACATCATTCGCGGGCCATACAAAATGATCAACTTGCAAAATTAGCCTCTTATATTTGGTCAAACATTTAATGAACTCGCCCCTAATCTGATGGCTGAAACTGCTTCTCTTTGGCGAGGCGTGGCGATGATGTTAGCTGGCTATTGATGATGTTAGCTGGTATTGACGATGTTAGCTGGCTATTGATGATGTTAGTTGGTATTGATGATGTTAGCTGGTATTGATGATGTTAGCTGGTATTGATGATGTTAGCTGGTATTGATGATGTTAGCTGGTATTGATGATGTTAGCTGGTATTGACGATGTTAGCTGGCTATTGATGATGTTAGCTGGTATTGATGATGTTAGCTGGCTATTGATGATGTTAGCTGGCTATTGATGATGTTAGCTGGTATTGATGATGTTAGCTGGCTATTGACGATGTTAGGTGGTATTGACGATGTTAGCTGGCTATTGATGATGTTAGCTGGTATTGATGATGTTAGCTGGCTATTGATGATGTTAGCTGGTATTTATGATGTTAGCTGGTATTGATGATGTTAGCTGGTATTGATGATGTTAGCTGGTATTGACGATGTTAGCTGGCTATTGATGATGTTAGCTGGTATTGATGATGTTAGCTGGTATTGATGATGTTAGCTGGTATTGACGATGTTAGCTGGCTATTGATGATGTTAGCTGGTATTGATGATGTTAGCTGGTATTGATGATGTTAGCTGGTATTGATGATGTTAGCTGGTATTGATGATGTTAGCTGGCTATTGATGATGTTAGCTGGTATTGATGATGTTAGCTGGCTATTGATGATGTTAGCTGGTATTGACGATGTTAGCTGGCTATTGATGATGTTAGCTGGTATTGATGATGTTAGCTGGCTATTGACGATGTTAGGTGGTATTGACGATGTTAGCTGGCTATTGATGATGTTAGCTGGTATTGATGATGTTAGCTGGCTATTGATGATGTTAGCTGGTATTTATGATGTTAGCTGGTATTGATGATGTTAGCTGGTATTGATGATGTTAGCTGGTATTGACGATGTTAGCTGGCTATTGATGATGTTAGCTGGTATTGATGATTTTGATTTAAAGCTTTCGTGACTGCAGTAATTCATATTCTTAGTTTTTTCGGTAAAGTCACGTTGAAGAGAAACAACAAAATAACAAAATATATATAAAAAAATAAAAAATTCTCACGACGTTTCGACCATAACTCAAACGGTCATCATCAGGTGTGTCGGTTTGCATAAATTTATTTTGAAAACGGCATATTTATTTATATATATAAAAATAACGTTTGCGTCACGCGCAACGATGGCAGTTTGCCAGGACTAGTCCATCTATTTTTTGAAAAGAGGAGGGGGGAGACGAAATTTGTTTTTATGTATGCTGTCTGAAAGGCACTGTAAGCGTGAACAATCAATCAAGAACTGAAATGATTTATCAAATCTTTCCAATGATTGCTAAGATAGAATCCATCTTCTCGGTTGAAATTGTCTCTGTGTTTGTATATGTGGATAGCCTCATGAACGAATCTCTCATGGAAGCCAGATGGCTTACAAAGAACCTCCGTCTTGGAAAAGTCAATGGCATGTGAGCCTACTGAATTAGAACAATGATCTGCTACGGCCGAGGTGTTGGTCCTACCGTGTTTAAGGTCTGCTTTATGTTCACGAATGCGGTCCGAGATATGGCGTTTGGTTTCTCCAATGTAACTACTACCACAGAGGCAACTTAGTTTGTAGACACCAGGGTATTGTATGTCCGGAATCACATCTTTTACAGACGGAACCAGATCACGGATTTTATGTAATGTGTTGAAACGGACCTGGATCTTGTGTTTATTCAAGATTTTGGAGATCTTTTTTGTGATCCCA